CCATAAGCCCACTGTCAGAAATAAAGTTATCTTTGTTTTATGTCCCCTATAGTTTTCCTCCTTTCTTAACTACTATTCCCCAAAGATATATAGTTTAACTTGTATGTACCAAGGTTTTATATTTTCATGTAATGAATTATATAAACATTACATAAAAGACATTAAATAGAATCCCCCGTCCCCGTAAAAAGGTGGAGGAGAAGGACAGTGAGGCTACTGTCATAGCATGGCCAAATAACTCAGTCTTAGAAAACATTACTGTTGGACCTTTTGGACCAGTGACCTCCTTGCTTTGCAGATATGTAGCACCACTGGGTTTCAGGAGCTCCATAGATAAAGTGATTTGGGGTCTCCTGTTGCACCTTTTTCTATTATGAAACCATTTGTTCAGAAGCTTGAGTTCTAATGCTATTACATCAGCTGTATTGGAGCTGGTTTTATACTGTGGCCACCCATTGAACTTTCTTCATAGTTGACTCTCTCAGAGCCAGGGGACTCAGCCTGGGTCCTCAGTGGGAGAACACTGTCTGGCTCTCCAAATGTTTGGCACTGTGGCTCCCCTGTTAGGGAGAGGTGGAGAAGGAAGAAACCAGGGCTGAGGCCAGTCCAGCAAGATGGTCACCTTCTTAGGCTGCTCCCTCCAACTTCTCACAAACAGATCTGCCTCTGGGCTCTAGTGAAGGCAGAGGAACTTCTCTCTTCAGGCGTCTGGTCAGAAGCATGTCATCCATAGAGAGAGGCTGTATCACCATTTAAGGCAGGGATGGTTAGGGGAAGGGCTGTAAACTGTGAACCAGTTTTGTCTTTTTTCCTTCTTCTACCCATGGGTAAGAAATGAGCAGATATTATGAGATTTAAGTTCTTAGTTATCTTTGGATAACAGAACAATAAATAGGGTTTCACACAATCCAAAAATGGCTTCTGTGTTTAGCAAAAGTTGAATGATGGAAAAAGTTTCAGGAGCAGGCGGCATTCAGGCTGTCAGTCACCAAGGCTCTGGTAATCCCTGAGGTGTGCAGTAAACAAGTGTTTGAGAACATAAACAAAAGACTAATTTCTGCCCTAAAGGCACACATTTGAATAAAGTCTACTTTAAAGAACTGCTCTATAAAGTGATGTTATTCCCGGGGTAGATAATGGCTTCTAGTATAGGTTTTGTATTGGTTCACATAAGTTAGGTTAAATATGGAGATACCTGTTAAACATTTTCGAGTTCCTACCCGACTCTTTATAGAAATACCAATTTTACCCAATATTCATGCTTTCTGCTGAACTAAAATGTGTGCCAGTCTCCAGAGGATGAGAGATGGGTGGGGATTCATGAAACAGTTTGCAGCAATCATGGACGGCTTAGGCCACAGGGAGAACCCACCAGCTCCCCTGGGTGCTGCCCCCCAGTGAGGAAGGGTCTCCAGGACCCAGAGATGCAGCATCCCCGGATTCTATTCTCCCATCCCCCAGATCCCCTTTCTGACAAGAAAGAAAAGAAAAGAAAAGAAAAAAAAAACCTTTTATTTTGCAAATTTTGGCTGAGGGTGGCAGAGTGGCTGTCAGCAGCTGAAGTTCTTGCTTTATTTAAACAACAATAACAAAATTCAATGAAATAATGCCCCTTGTAGTTGAAGAGCTAAGTTTCCACTTAAGCATAATTTGATTTTACCAAATTTATTTTCTTTTGAAAGACCCAAAACATTTCACCTTATTAATCCTTTTAAGGATTACAAAGTGGTTGGTGGAGGGGAAGTAAGCCACTGATAAAAAGATTATAGCAATTTGGCTGGCAGGTGCTTTTAGTTTCATCAAAAGAATGACTGGTAAATTGTCTTTTTTGAATACTAAACAATGTCTCTTAAAAAGTTATACTAGATCCTTTGGGTGTTTCCTGAAGTGGATTTAGTACATTAGAGTCTGGATTCAAATTCCAAATAAAGCTGATGAATACACATAATTATATGTCACCTGCCTTAAGATCAGGTTATTCGTTTTCTTCAGAATTGAGCTGGAAACCATTTTTTTCTACTTTATCTAATCTCACTTCATGGGAGTGATAAGGACCTAGAGGAATCAGCCATTTTGAGCTTTTGTCAAAAGCTGTTTTATCTTTGCAGCCACAAGTAGATTTCTTGGACCAGCACTGTGCAACAGAAATATAATGCAAGCTATGTATGTGATTTAAGATTTTCTAGTAGCCATATTTTAAAAAGTAAAACAGACAAAAACCCCACAAATGCAATTAGTTTCATAATTTAAGTAGTAGAGCCAAAATGTTATTACAATATGGAATCAATGTTTTAAAATTACTGGGATATTTTGCATGGTTTTTTTTTCCCACTAAGTCTTGTAAATTTTCTGTGTATTTTACACTTAAAGTACATCTCAATTCAGCCTAGTTACATTTCAAGTGCTCGACAGCCCGCATGCGGCCAGCAGCTGCCGTCCTGGACAGCACAGTGTGAACGTGGTGTGCGTGAGGTGGCAGCTGGATGTGAGGCTTGGTGCAAAGCAGGGAGGCTTTATCAGTCAGACCAGGAGTTGGAGCTTTATCCTGAAGACTCTGGGGCCATAGAAAGATCCTAAGCAGAGCAGTGTTATTTTTAATTTTGAACTTAACCTGGTGGCCTCAGGGAATACAGGTTGGAGCTTTGGGAGTGGGGGCTCAAGCACGAAACATATTAAAGGCTGTTGCAGTGGTCCAGGTAAGGAGTGATAAGACCCGGAACTAAAACCCTATGGGAACACAGACCAAAGGAAGTGTGTCTGAGAGATTTAGGAGGTAAAATCATCAGAATTTGGTGTTGACTACTGGATGGATCTGAAGGGAGGGAGGGGGGTAATCTAGGATGGTTGTCCGCTTCTTTCTGGGAACTTGGGCCAAGAGCCTGGTGTTACCTGAAGTGGAGGGGGCGGGTTGTGCGGGCAGGTGAGTGCAGCAGGGGCGTGGTGGCTCTGGGGTGCCTCGGGAATAGGCAGGTAGATGTCTAGTTCCACATGGAAGAGTTTACTCAAGAGAATGTCTAGAGTTAGATGCGAGAAAGGCTGGGTAGGAACACTCAGTACTTAAGGTGCCGGTGAACACTAGGCAGTAACCAGAAGGGGATGTAAGGGTGAGGTAACGGAGGGCAGAAAAGGTGGGACATAAGCAGTCTTAAAGAAGGGTAGAAGAGGCAGCAGAAATGCTGGGAGATGAGAAGGTATCAGACATGTCGAAGCGACACCGTGAATAAACCCTGCTGAGCCAGATTGGATTAGGGCTGAGATCAAAGCTGGCCTAATGCAGTTTGCAGACATGTTTTGTTTGGCATGCATGCGGTTGGATCACGCAGTGTTCTAAATTTAAGTTAGGTACCAGCATTTCCACACAAAAATCCAGATTTCTGACTTCTCTTTAGAAGGTGGCCAGGAGGTAGATTTTGACAACACTGGTGGTCCTACATGGTAAAGATCATCTGAGTGGATGTCCCCTCACTCCAACAAGTCTGTTTTACTCCTTTATGTTATCTGCTTGAGTCCTGTAGACACTGGCGTTTTCTGAGTCAGGGACTGGTAGGTAATAAAGTTACAGAGGTAGACTGGTGACAGATTATGGAGGGCTTTTAATACCAAACTGAGGGGTATAGATGTAGTCAGTGGGCAACTGGTGAATAAGGGATTGATGAGATTAAAGCTGTATTTAGGATTATTCGGGATCAGTGTGAAAAATACAGAAGTCAGGGAGAACAGTTAGCCAGTTTTGACAGGAAAGAGACAGATGCCATGGTGTTGGCAGATCCAGGTAAGCTTAAAAATGCAAATAGAGGTCTTCTGAGGAGATAACCATCCAGAAAGGCTACAAGTGCCACGTGGGGACCATCTGGGCCTTTGAGCTTTCTGGGAAATTTGCTTTGCAGGCTTCCAGAATTCAGGCCAACATTTGGTGTAAGGGACAGTGAGTCTGATTGTTTCAAACAACTGTGTTTGTTACAATAGCTCAGTGATTTCAGAGGAAGCAGTCGGAGCACAGACTTGCTTTCTCTTTTTGCTGTGAGCACAGATAGGTGATTCTTGAGAAAATGGCAGTGAGCAAGGGGTGGACAGCATGGAACTTGGGGGCTGTGGGAAGAAAGCGTGTGTTAGACAGTGGGTGCTGAGCCGCGTGTCTTGTCACCCATTAGAACACCTGCTAGTCACATCCTTTTAAAACATTGTCAGGTTGTAGGTTTGCAGTCACTGTTCTAAGTAGACTGTAAATTGAGGGAAAAGATCCTTTAAAAAAAGGCTAAAATTCCTATCTGATCATGATTAACTGTTCTTTACACAAATATCCAATCCTCGCCAGCACTCTCCTGGAACACTGTTGCCATCTCCATTTTATAGAAAAGGAAACTGAGGCTCTAGAGGTTAAGATCTTATCCAAGGTCACAAGGCTTATAAGGGGTGGAACCAGGACTTGAATGCAGGCAGTCTCTCTGGGGACCTTTCTTCTATCCCCTGTGTTAAACCGACTCTGTGTCTTTATCTGTGCTAATGCCACACAAATAGGCAAACCCACAGGTAGAGAACCTTATACTTTTATCCTGGAAGCTCTAGTACAACTTACTTCAGTTTGGTTCAGGCCCTCCTAGAAGAGATGAAACTCCAGAATTAGGCCTTCAGCTGCCTTGCAGAGGGGCAGACAATGTGCTGGGTCCTTGGGCGACCTTGAGAGGACCAGGTGGCGTGGTGTGTTCAAAGGCCTCTTCTCTCCCTCTAGCTCACGGCCTGCTGGTAACTGAGGAATGTGTGCTGGTTACTTTTTATTAAAAGAAATTTTTTAACCCTCATAAAAATTCTTATTTCATTTATGCAAGCTAAACCATGTTAGCTTTTCTTCATATGTTCTTGTGAAAAATTATCAGAACAAATTCTATAAATCTTTGACTTTGGAAGTGGGTGAGAGTCCATAACATGGTAGACACAAAGCTTCCAAACTTGTCAAGTTGTCCTACCATCCTTACTGTGGCTTCCTTCTCTTTGGTCTACAGATGAAACATGTGAATGAGAGGTTTCAAGATGAGAAAAATAAAGAGGTGGTTCTCATGTGCATTGGCATCACTTCAGGCGTCGGACGGCTGCTCTTCGGCCGGATTGCAGATTATGTGCCTGGTGTGAAGAAAGTTTATCTACAGGTACTTTCTTAATAAGGCTTTTTTTTTTCTCCAGCAAATGTATCCTTATCACCTAATGGCTCATTGTATGCACATATTTGCTTAAATTCTTCTGTAAAAATGAGAAATATTTTCTAGAACCTAATCTTTACCAACAATTTTCCAAGGGCAAAATCACAAGTTTTGGGCTTCTGACATGAGAAACTGGCAGACAAACAGCAGTCTTCTTTGTTTTGTCATGGAACTCCAGCAAACCAAAATGTTTTTTGCCCATTGCATTTTCTAAGAATGTTTTATTTTTGGCATAGTTCTCATAGTCATGTGCCTTTTGCAAATACCGTGTGAAATTCAGGCATGTGTGTGTGAGTTTTGAGTTTCTTTACTGCAGGTTGCCTCCAGGGCGTTGTGGGATGTGCTCTTCCAAGGTCATATGGACACTCATTTGACAAATATTTAAGTGACTCCTCTATGCCAGATACTGTGCTAAATGCTACAGGTGAAACATGGTCCGTGCCCTCAGTAGCTCAGGGACTCCTGGGAAGAGAGATAACGCAGTGCTGCAGCACAGTGGGATAGCAGGTGTGCAAATGGGTGCCATAGGAACACAGTCACAAAGCATCTGAATCACTAGAGAGCGTCTGGGCAGGCTTCCTGGGCTGGGGGAGTGTTAAGAGATTAGATAAGGAAAACAGAGAAGGATGTTCCAAGCAGAGGAAGCCACACGGGCAAAGAGATGGAGGTGTGACATAGTATGTTATACCTGGGAAACTGAATGAATGGAATAAAGAGAAGAATTAGGTTGACTGGCTAGGGGGCAGGCAGGAGTCAGGTTGGGAAGGGCTTTTATGAGCATAAAAGAGGCTGAACTCTATCTGGAGCCATTAAGGATTTTAACCAAGGGAGTGACATGACGTGAGTTGTATTTCATAAAGCTTAACCCAGTAACTGTGAAGGGTGGAATGAAGTGGAGGAGAGGGCAAGAGTTCAGTCACAAAAGGCCACATACTGTGTGGTTCCCTTTAAATGAAGTGTCCAGAACAGGCATATCCAGAGACAAAGTGTAGAGCAGTGGTTGCCAGCAGATGGGGGAAGGAAGGAACGGGGAGTAACTGCTACTGGGGGTTTCTTTTGTGGGGGAGATAAATACTCTAAAACTAGACAGCAGTGATGGTTGTACTTGATAATGAACTAAAACCCATTGTGAATAGTTCACTTTAAATGGGTGAATTTTATAGTATGTGAATTTTTTTCCCTCTTAGCAGTCATCTTTATTTTAAAAAATTTTTAAATTGAAGTGTAGTTGATTTAATGCTGTTTATTTCTGATGTACAGCATGGTGACTCACTTACACATATATACATCTTTAAAATGAAGACCCCACACTAATATATAATCACAGAGGGTTAGATGATTCTGTGGGACAATTTTTTTCTTCCACTTACTTTTTTTTAAAAACATAGAATTATGTTTTGACGTTTTACTTCAATTCTTCAGATTATGTCAAGAAAAGAGTCTATTCAGAAACATAGACCCTTTACATTTCTTGAACGAATTGCTCTTTTCACAGTGAAAGATCAGGCCTTGGGCTCCAAGCATTTGGAAGGCAGTGCTATCTGGCAAGAATCAAATGATTAAAAAAATTAGTCTAAATTGTCTCCTATTTATATCCAATAATACTAATTGTTATAAGTATATATGGTTTTCTTTAAAAATTTTTTCTCCTTTTTTTTAATTGAAGTATTATGGCATGTTAATTTATATTTCAGTAAAGCTTTTGGAGGCTTGGGGACTAGTTGGAGAATATTGAAACAGTCTAGGCAGAAAAACCAAGGCAGAGATGTTGGGATTGATGAAGAAGTTAAACAGGGATACAGGGAATGAGACTTCAGTGGGACCACCTGGGTCTGGGGTTTGTGGCTCGAGTAACAGTGAACAGTTTTGCTGTTTTATCAAGATCAGTAATTCAGTAAATCAGAGTAGGATGATGAGTTAATTTTTGCCATGTTGTTTGTGGTGCTTGTGGGAAAGCCAAGTCGAGTTTGGAGCTCATGAGAGTATGGCTAAGAGACCCGTGGGACTCTGGCTTTTATGCACTGTGTGGGGTGAGTGGAGGGTGTGCCAGGGAGATGGTAAGGTAGGGGCCAGATTGGTAGGAAAGAAGCCAGACACACAGTGTTTCCGGGGCAGGAGGGGCCAGCAGTCAGTAACTAGTGAGAGTGTAGGCATGTTAAACACTAAAAGATTTTCACTGGATTTAGCAGCAGAGAGTAGTTGCAGTGGAGGGGCAGATCAGAAGACTGATCATGATCAGTTGATTAAATGGAAACACAGGCGACTTTGTCCCAAGGCTTGGCTATGGAAAAGAAGGTAGAGGGGAGCCAAAAGGGGAATTTGGGACTGAGGGTTGAGCATGTCTGTTCACTGTAGAGATGAGAGGTATTTGAGCAGGGCTTTGAAGGGAGGGTGGAACGTGGGTGCATGAAAATGATTGGAAAAGGCATTTGTTACAGATAAATTGCCATTAATTGATTTGAAGTAAAAAACCATTTCCTGAGCAGTTCCTCATGGCAGACAATGAACTAAGTGCTCTACATACATTATCTCTTTTACTCCTCACCCCAGCTCCTTGAGGAAGGTACTTCCACTAATGGATGTGGACACAAGGAACAGGAACAGAGGCTGCTTCACTGTGGGGCTGTGTGTAAGGTGCAGGCAGTCAGCTGCAGGAAGGAGTCTGGTCACGCAGCCAGGAGGAAGTGCAGACAGCTGGCAGAGTGCAGCTTTTTAAAGTATTTACTGTGTTATGGTCATTCCCTCTTTTAGTAATACCTAACTGGATATCCCTGTTGGACATTTAGTGGAACAATGTCTTGTTCTCAAGTGTCAAGGGAGCCCTCTAATGGACATTTGTTGCATTGCAGAGTTTCAGCTTCCTTTCATTTATTCAAAAAATTCCAAGTGCATACTGTGCACCAAGCACCGGCCTAGACTCTGGTGGGGTGATACAAACACGACAGACATGGTCCCTGAGTTCCTGGAGCAAGACTTGAGGCAGGAAAAGCTGGGTGTGTCTGGGAATTCAAGAAGGCAGGGAGAGTGGGCTGGGAAGAGGTTGGAAAGAGTGTGGCACGGGAAGAGAAGGGGCCAGACTATACAGGGCCCTGAAACCCAAGATGAAGAGATTTTACTTTCAGTGTAGTGGGTCTTTGCTGGAGAATACATTTTACATTTTAAAGTCTGTGTGTGGAGGATGGATGACTCAGAGGGGTGCAAGAGGGGAGGAAACCCAGTTAGGAGAGCAATACAGCGGTGAAGGTGAGAGACAGGCTCAGACTGAGGTCTTGATGGATGAAGTCATGGTATGTTTCATATGGCAACACTTTATTCCAAAACAACTTAAGAAAAATTTCCTCCCTACAGGTGGGGCAGTCAGGTCACTTACAACATTTTGGGGGCACATATGTTAGTATTTCATGTAATTTACAAAAGAAGATATGGCCTTTCCTAACTAGTCCCATGCTGGTCTGCATTTACATGGCAGTGAATTAAGAGTATTTTCATTTTGGATGAAAGGTTAGCCACAGCCTGGCTGCTTCTCGGTCGTATCTGGTATTTTCCATCCAGATGTGGTGCAGAGAACCTGGCAGTATGTGCTGAGCCACAGGTGAGATGACTGCAGTCCAGGGAGCCCCTGGAGGAGAAAGGTAGCCTTCATGTGTCCTGTGATGCCAGGAACCACCGATGGGCTCTGTCCTGTGAACACAGCGGCACAGGAGGCAACACAGGCCCAATCCATGCAGTCTGCTGGGCTCGCTCCTTTATATCACTCCCCGCTTTGTCTCCTTTTCCTGGCTTCCCTGCCCCGACTCCCAAACGTTCAGTGGGTTTTTATTCTTGGCCCTTAATCTTGTCTGCTGCCACCAACTCCAGGCTTGCCCATTTGCTCTGTCCTCACGCGCTCTCCCTGCCCGCTGTCTGCCCTGTGGCTGGAAAGCTCCTGCTGCTTGTCTTCCTGTCCTTCCCATCGCTGGTGCCGTTTTCCCAGACGTACCCACTGCCGGCTCTCGTCGGTTACAGCTCAGCCGTTGTGGGGCCGTGGCAGCTCTCTTCCCGCCCTGTCCCCTGACGCCAGTCATCTTGGGTTTGGGGGCTGCAGAGCAGGGAAGCACAGGCTCCGGGTGAGGGATGGCTTGTCCCCACACCTGGCAGAGGGCTGTGCGAGGATTCATGGTGACAGCTTATGGAAAGTGCCGGCTCAGAGCGGATAATTAATGAATCCTTGCTTTTATTATGTTTTAATATTTTATTAAACACTGAGGCAGATCCTGGTTTGGAACAGGTCTCAAGAAAGAAGACCTTGTTATCTTGATTTGGGGATCTCTGCTTATAGGTAACAGAGTTTAGGAATGTATCTTACACTTTTGCTGTAGAGTTCTGAATTTAAACTTCCATCAGGGTCCTGGGTTCCAGGTATTTTCAGCCTAACATTTCTAAATGTTGAGCAAAGAGATGACTGAACTGCATTATGTAGAAGAATGGTTAACGAATATCTTTGCAAAGGTTCCTGGGGTACATACTCTATTACGAGAGGAAAGGCTGTGTCCTGGTATCTTCTTAACCATCTATTTTAATTTCACAGGCCTATCTTTCTAGTCACCATTAAATTACTACAGATTTGTGTCTTTAATATGTGACTGTTTCAGAGGCTTGGAAGTTATAACTCTAATGAAGGAACTGAAAACTTTGCATTTAGATCACTTTCCCATTGTGTCGTATTTCTCTGTGACATGGACATACTGAAGTGTGGACAGCATATCCCTGTATGTAAAGCAGATAAGCCCAGACAACGCGTGTGTGCACAGGGAAGGTCTAGAATCACCAATTTGTTGAGTGAGGTTATTTCTGATGAGGGCGTGGGTTGAGGGTGGGAGGGGGTTGAAGACGACTCACATGTATTACTGTATACATTTTTCTAAGGTTTGAATTTTGATAAGAATGTATTCATGAGTTACTTTTGTAATACAGAAAAAAATTTTGTAACTTAGAAAAACTAATCACTTTCAGATCCATCTTCCTGTGTACTGTGTACTTCTGGTTGAAGGAGAATGAACTGATTGGTGTTGCCCAGTTGTTTTTTATTTTGTGTGTGTGGGGATGTTGTTGTCTTTTAGCATTTTACATTTTCCTAAAGATACCTTGAGATAAAGGTATATGCTTTTCCAAACAGAAGCTGTTTCCAAAATGGTATCCAAATATTTAGCAATTCCTCAGCCTGAATAAGAAACCAGACTATGGCGCTCTGTTCTCACCTGGGCTGTGGCACAGGGGCTAGTTCCTCCGTCAGGCAGGAAAAGTGGTACTCATGTACCCTGGGGAAGCTGAAAGCCTCCCTGTGAAACACTTGGAAAGGACTCTATGCTTTAGAAGAAGCCAGCCTCTCGGCTGTGGCCTAAACGCTTCCTTTTAGTGTGATGGACCAGTAGACTGCTGCTGCCAACTACGGGATTCCTAGCCAGAGGCTCTGAAGGTCTGGAAACTTTATATTGAATAAATTTATAGGAGCAACACTTGAATAACTGTGGCCAATTGTGCGTCTGCTTCTTAAAGTGCCTCCCTGCTTATTCAGGTGCAGCTTACTTTTCCTCTTCAGCCATATGCTTGGATTTCTGAGCAAAACTTCCACTGACATTTCTCCAAAAATGCTCTCTGTGACAGAAATGAGAAAGGTAACAGCAAAAAAAATTTTTTTTTGGTTTGTTTTTTGTTATTAGGTATATAAACTAAGCAGGGGGTTATTCTAGAGCTGTAATGTTATGAGAGAAGCTATTTCCTTGTATGATTTTAAGAAAGCAGAAGCACAAAAGACATCTCAACAGTCAAGGCCTTATTAAATGGCAGTGCCGGAGCATAGGAGAGATGTAGGAACCCTTGAGTCCCTTATTTAAATCTCATCAGAGCTTCTGTGTTTGGGGGAGATTGTATGTAATACTAAAATATTCATCTTTCAAATTGGGGACTGCTGTCTACAGATCAATAGATATTTGGGAGGCAGTGAACCTCCTATATGCGTATGTGCTCAACCTCGCCCGTGCTCCTCATGGCTCGAGTGTCCCTGCCTGTGGGGAATAGGTTTGACCTCGCCAGCTCGTCTTGCTTACCTCCTCATTTAGCTACTTTGTGGGTAGTTACACCTGCTGGAATAGAGCAGTGTTTCTCACTACTACAGCGACAAATAAGGCAGAAATAGCTAGGTAGTTTCTGAGAAATGCTAAAAAATATGTGTAAATTTTTATAAATTCAATTCTTAAAGAAAAAATAAGGAATTTTAAACAACAATTTTTATTTAATAATTGTTATTAAAATTTAACAGTTTTAAATAACAACTAACAATTAGTGTCAGATAATTGAAAAAGAGAATATAAATTATTGTAATTTGAATTAAGAAAAATGAGAACTTGCAGTTAGGTAAAATATTAAAAAGTAATATGCTCAAAATATATAATAATAGATTTGAAACTCTTACATGAATGATCTCTTACAAAACTGACCAAGAAACAAAAATTTGGAGGGGCCAAAAATGGATACAAAGATCAGGATAACTACCGTAAGTTAACTACCTGGGTCTCGTGTTACATAAATTGGTCCAAGAAAACATGCATTTATTGAGCAAAACTGACTTTGTGCTAGGCTTTCAGCATTCACTTTGGTTGTCTTGTCTGTACTGAACGGAACAGGAAAAGAATAGGAAACATGCAGAACTAACCTAGTCTAACTACAGTGGTGCTGTGGGATTATTTGATCGGTGGCTTTACTGATTAAACCCATTGAATCTGGTCCCATAATGTCCTAACATTTTATTCCAGATTCTCTGGGATGTGTGATGAAGGATTAATTCCTAAGATTCAAATGTTTATCTCCTTTTGTGTTTATAGACAGAATAAAAATGTATCTAATTAAGGATATTAGGACTTGTCTAACTAGTTTTTAAATAAAAATAACTCCTTAAATCTTTACCTACTTGTTAGTTTCAAACACTTGCTCCATTTTGATATATCTTTAGGTCTCTTTTTGTACAGATGAGAAGCATCAAGGAGTCTTTTTATCAAGTGGTCACAGACAGCTAGAACCTAGTCTTGTCCCTGTAAGCCTTAGTTCTTTCCAGCTTCCAGGCTGCAAAACCAGGACTTACCCACTACCAAGAAACTATGCTTAGTTGTTAATGGAAATCGGATTGGAGAAAAAGATGTTTAAGTAGAAAATAAAAAGTCAAAATGGGGAGATTGTTCTTTAGGAAATGTGAAGTACCAGACGTATTTTTCAAATAGCCAACTCAGAGTCTTAAACTAATTCTACCATGAAGCCATATTTTAATAATGAAGAAAAATTTATTCAGCTATATAATATGATGGTGTCAAAAAGAGACCAACCTGGAGTTTGAGACCCTTTTCAAGAGTACATTTCTTATTGTGGGGCCAGGGGACTACTTGTGTCAACGTCACCTGGGAAGCTTATGAAAACCACCATTCCCAGATCTCTGCTCCTCAGGTGATCCTGAGGTGCACTAAGGTTGTGAGGGGCTGCCCCGAGGCATGCTGCCAACCTTGGTATGCCTTGGATGTGCCTAGTGCGTCCGGGGAAAAACAAAGCAGATGAAGATGGTGGTTCAGATGGCTGCTTTATGTGGTCTCCCTCTCCCTCCCCAGCCCCACTGTCACGGGAGGGTACCCTCCAGGAACCATTCCATTGTTGTCTGCTACTTACTGCCAATGCAGACCATGGGTTCCAGGCTGGCTCCATCCAGGGTTACTACTAAACCTCCCAGCATCAGTATCACTATCTTCATCTGTAAAATAGGGAAAACATTACTACCTACTACCTCAAAGTTATTAGGAAGATCACCATCTAAAGTTCTTAGAACACTGCCTGGCATTTAATAAACACTAAAAAAATTATAGTTGCTACTATATGCATACTTTAAAAAAACTGATTCTTTTAGAAACATTTCTTCTGCTGACAAGTGAATTATCCAGTTTTAACTAGTTCTTTGCCTAAAAAAGTTGTTGAATTGTCTGCTCCTTTCTTTTTGGTATTTACCATAATTTGAATATACAACTATAGCACATCAAACACTTCACGTGCATTTATTTATTTAATGGTCAAGTCCCCACAACCCAAGGTAGGAACCAGGTCTTATTCGCATAACACAGTAGCTACCAAAGTGGCAGGAAAAATTAAGTGTTTCACTCTATTAATTAGTCTAACACTAAAATAAAAGTGTTTAATAGTTTAAAATATTTCTCAGCCTCAACTTGGGTGCTTAATAGGGTATATCTGTTTCATCAGAAGACATAATATTTGAAAATATTCTTTGATAATAATATATTGATTTACACTGTCAAAGTAATAAAATTGGACTATATAATTAGTTCTTAGGATGTTATAGTGGACTATGTTTACTGTTTTCACTGCATATTATGCATCCTGTATTTCCTATGACAGTCAAAATTTAATTAGAATTTTAATAATCAAAATTCAGTATATATTTATAGAATAGCAAATCATAGTTACTTATTCTCATCTCTCTCACTTGGCCTAACTATGCTCACCATGTCTGGAATATTAGCGGGTAAAATATTACAGGTTATTTACATCACTGTATTCCCCAAACTGGGAGAATGGATCTGGCTGCCATATTTTCATTTTGCAAAGGACTAATACCAGTAAAGTTCATGGAATTTCAGCAGTAAATTTTTAAAATCATGTTTGATGAGTAAACTTGAGCTGATATTCAAAGAACAAATATTTACTGAGCACTAACAAGGTGCAGCATTTTTAAACCTTATGTAATATATAGTCCAAAGATGACTTTTGTATAGATTCTGGCCTCAAAGAGCTTTCTTTTTGTCCTTAATGGAAATACTGAGAGAGTGCTGAAGAACTTGGGGGAGATGATTATAGGAGTTGATTATGTATATAAAAATCAAGGTCAACTGGGCTGGGGAGGCAACTAATCAGTAGCACTCAAAAGTCCTAAGCATGTGCATCACTCTTCCTGAGAGCCAAGCTGACACTGTGGTGTCTGTCCCAGGTCCTCTCCTTTTTCTTCATTGGTCTGATGTCCATGATGATTCCCCTGTGCAGCGTCTTTGGGGCCCTCATTGCCGTCTGTCTCATCATGGGTCTCTTTGATGGATGCTTCATTTCCATCATGGCCCCCATTGCCTTTGAGTTAGTTGGTGCTCAGGATGTCTCCCAAGCAATTGGATTTCTGCTCGGATTCATATCTATACCCATGACTGTGGGCCCACCTGTTGCAGGTAAGTTAAATTGATTTATAACATTTTCTACTGTAGGTCCTAAGTCTCACTTATATGTAAAGTACATTACATTTTATTGATTACTGGTCTCTTGCTTTTGTATGTGCTTTATTTATACATTTTTAATAAGACCCGCTGTAGAGGGCATGTTGGAAAAATCTGCCGAAGAGGCTCTCTTATTCTTATTTATATCCAAAACACTCAGTAAAATATGTAGCAGTTAGCTTCTGGACTTTTAAGCTTTCAGAGTTCCTATATTTCACTTAGTATGTGTTTTGGAGGAATGGGAATATGATTTTTTGTTTAGAAGAGGTAGAGATTCTGAAAGATTTATAATTATGTATGCTTTGTGTAAAAGATCATATCCCCCTGAGAAATAGTGAAAAGTAACACTTAGTGGAAACAATCCAAATATCTGCCAGCAGATGAATGGATAAAATTGGTATGCCCATATGATGGAGTATTATTTAGCCATAAAAAGAATGAAGTACTGTACTGATACCTGTTACCAAGCAGATGAACCTCAAATATTATGCTAAGTGAAAGAAGCCAAATACAAAAAGTCACATATTACATGATTTCATTTATGTGAACTACCCAGAATAGGTAAATCCATAGGAGACAGAGAACAGATTGATGGCTGCCAGGGGATGGAGGGAAGGAGGATTGGGGAGTAACTGCATAATGTATGGAGTTTCCTTCTGGTGTGAGGAAAATATTTTGGAACTAGACAGAGGTGGCGGTTGTACAATATTATGAATATGCTAAATGCCACTGAAAGGTAGAAATCTTCTGAATATAAAGATGTCTCATGTTCAGAATTAACTGGGTACCAGTGTAAATTATTATGGTAAGAGTTGATTAAATTACTATAAAATTTAAATGTATGTACTATCATCTGTGGCTGGTACATGAGAGGCTCAGTGAAAGTTCAGTTCAATTCATTCTCATATTCAGAACCACACATATCAGCAACTTTGCCAGTTGGGAACCTAGTCATGAATCACACAAGCAGGGCCACTACTGAGCAGACTAAATAAAACTGAAGTTCTAAAGATCACAGTCTCCTTGTAGGAGAACCGTCCAGTCCTTCCTCTCTCCCCAGGTAACAGACTATTTACACTGCTTTTACATCTTATATGCTTAGTTTGTTAGGGTTTCCAACTCCACAGCAGATTACAAGCAGCACTTTAGCAGAAATGGTGTTTGCTACTAGAGATGACTATAACAGACCAAGAATTAAGGAAGTTAACAGGAAACTTCCAAAGCAGGCAGAAGAACACCAGGTGGTTCGGAGGGATCATAGTATTACAGCCAAACGTCGTAATTCGTATTCATAAGAATGAAAGTTTAGTTATATGTGTAATATTCTGATTCAGAAGATATGAAAAGCATTTGTGTAGATATATTGTATATTTAAGGTTTCAATCCAGAATGACTGTACGCATTTTTTAATGTGCTGGTACTTACCTGGACACGTCCTCGGCTGTTTATTTAGCAGAGTCAGATGTTCAGCACGTGTTCCTGGGACATTTCAGATAATAGGTTGCATAGTAAAAGTTAAAAGTTACAAAAGTTTAAAACATCAAGATAACTTTTAAAATCTGGATTTTGTTAGAGAAATTAGAAATAAGGAGTGCTCAGTTTTCAGAAGAAGAGGACCTATTAGATTACCACATGTATTCTTATATTTTCCTCCCATGTGCTGACAAACCTTAGTATCTTTCTGAGATGTATTTAACGACCTAGCCTTTTCATCCTCTTAGATATATAATTTTTCACGGCTTTGGATTATGACTTTAAACAGTTTTATGTTATTTCATAAACAGACCCAAGAAAGGTTTGAATTGTAGACATTCTGAGGTCAGTGTGTATGAGAGAAGTTTCAGCTTGGTGGTCCGTCCACCTTCAGCTGAAGTTAAGGACCTTCATCCCACATGTCAAAATACCCCAAATGGCCTCTAAGGAGTTTTGAGAAAACTGAAGCTTCGTTGCAGACATTTTTTTTCCATGTAATATCCCAGAGGACTATCACAGACCTGTAACAAGATTAAAGAAATTAGATCTTTTCCTGCCTTATAACAGAAAAGGTTTATATTTCAGACCCATTTCCTTAAAAATGTCTGATATCTGAGATGTTTGAATTAGTCTGCTGAGATGAAGTTATTTGGCTGGCACCAGGCATCAGTGTGACTGAGACCCCGAAGAGCCATACTTGTTCTCTCTTGGTGACAGTTTCTTCCCTTCCCAGGGTTACTTCGTGACAAGCTGGGCTCCTATGATGTGGCATTCTACCTCGCTGGAATCCCTCCCCTTATTGGAGGTGCTGTCCTTTGTTTTATACCATGGATCCACAGTAAGAAGCAAAGAGAGCTCGGTAAAGGCACTGAAGGAGAAAAGATGGAGAAAATGTTGGAGAACCAGAACTCTCTGCTGTCGAGCTCATCTGGAATCTTTAAGAAAGAATCTGACTCTGTTATTTAATGTCATATACCTCCACCAGACTGGACTTGCTTTCAGAAGTTTAAGCAAGTTTTCCTTTTATATAAATTGCAAATTTCTTATTTTTTTAATCACACCTTAGGAATAGCACGATAATCGGGAAATAGAACCCTTATTACTACAAGAACCATTTTCTGCCATTGAATAGCTGTCCGATATTTCCATGAGTCTGAGGGTGGAGACTCAGACTCCAGTTTTCATGTACAAGAAAACATGTCTGAAAGTCAGATATTGTGACGATATGAAGCTCTCTCAGTAAAAAGCAACTCTGGAAACTGTGAATGCTGTTTAGCTTGTACAAATATTTTAAAATACCTCAAGCTATACAGAAAGGGTTGCAGTTTGGTTAGGACTGGAAATATTGTTTGTTGTCTCATGTGGTGTTTTTCATTTTGGTATCTGTTTTAATTCTTCTGCTATTTGGGAACTTCTTAACAGTATTAAGCCTGGATTCTAGATACTATCAGATCTACTAAACCTCAAGTCTATGTTAAAATTACTTCCCTGCTGTTAAGTAAGCTATGAAATTAAGTTATTCAGACTTGCTCCAGTGTCAAGGGACCTTCATGGAGCAGGTGCTAATGGTGTATTCAGAATCAATCTGTGAGATGAACAGGATCCTGTTCCTAAGGGCAGAGCAGTTCAGAAATCAGACTTTTCTTCCATTTATATTTTTTCCCTTCGGATTTGCAGTGTGTTTCACTCAAGCAGCCAGAAACACCCCAAATTTCTGAATTTGTTTAAATTGTAACAATGAACTAAAATAGAATGATTGAAAGGTAATTCTGGCATTTTTAACTTAGAATTTTTCTGACTTCTGAATTTGCTGCACGAGGACCAGACATTTAAACAAAGTCTTACTGAGTATGTTACCGATTTGCCGTTTCAGGCACAAATGGGAAAAAACATCTTTGTGAAGAAAATACATATTTCTGATAGGAAGAATTGCTCAAATTGGTTTAAGAAATTAATGGTTCTTGAAAGGCTAAAAGCATTTACAAAGAGAAACAACTCCTACATTTCCAAAAGTTCCTGGAAAAAATTTGCATTTGTGTGTATTTATCCTAGTGTGTTCCTCATTAATATTCCCTGTATTTTTCCTATTGTAAGAAAGCTATTAGAGTTTTAAAGACTTAAAGCTGAAGTAATGCTATGACCCATACTCATCTTTAAAAAATAGGAACACTTCTCTCACCCTTGAAATTATTTTAGTACATTTTTTAAATTTAGGTCTTTAAAAGTTAATAATATGCAAAGCATATTTAAATCCTAAATAGAGATGTATATTATATATTCCTCAAATGTAGCTTGTTCACCTGGGGAGAATACTGTCTTTTTCTAAAGCACCTCCAGATCTGGATCTATTTCTAAATTCTCTGTACTGAGAGAAACAGTCTATTATCTCCCTACTTTTCTTTTCAGCTTCTATCATTTCTGAAAGGCAAAGTCCCTCCATTCCTGTCTCTTGCTGAGGATGGAGATGCTTAGAAAGCATATGGGTTTGCAGTCGTTGATGGAGGAGGAGGAGGGAAGTGAGGCTGTTAATTAAACAGAAAACCCAATAATTTTTCCTTTCACTATCAGCTTTCTCATCTGCAACCTTGAAGGTTCAACGTGTAAAAATGCTAAATGTGGAATTTACTTTTAATAGGATTTTAAATAATTTTGATCCTTGAAGACATTCAGCAACTTACTATGCCATACACACAGCCATAACTTAATACTTCCACCAATACTTCCGTATTTCATATTCAGGGGACTTAGATAATTTGTGTTTTGGAAGGTTCTGTTACATTAAAAAAAAATCTACATTTTGACCATCCTGCCTTTCATGTTCTTATTTTAAGCCTGTACAAAATGACTTAAATAGCAATGTAATACATTATTAGGTTCTTCATTTATTCATGCCCAGTTATATAAAACATTATTTCCTTGTTATCAGTGCTTTTGAGATCAGCAAAAACATACACAACTAAGAACAGTCATCAGAAATTATAAAATGCTTATTTATTTATTTTTTTAGTTTCAGCACAGACTGCTGACTCCCCTGCAATTTTATAGAAGTAGATCTAAAATAGAAAATTTATTCTGTAAAGACCTAGAATGTTTTTATTTTCAAAATTTGGCTAATTTTAGGAAAAGGGAAAAAAAGTACTAATCTGAAATTCAAAGATTTGATCTCGCTTGGTATTTTCCATAATAAAAGGTCAACATGACAAGTATTAATAATAAAACTTAGATCTCAGAATATTGTGTTTGTGTATAATATTATATGTAGTTTTCAGTCTGATGGAATGAATCAAACAGGATCTATAACACTGAAAAAGCTCTACTATAATAGACTGATGGAGAGTGCTGTGCTGATATAAAGTTAAAAAGCATAAAAGGTAAGATGCTAAACTCCATACAGTGCATATTTAGTAATATGCTGTTTGGTACAAAAAGTTCTAAAAGTCTAAAATATACAAACTAAGAACTAATATTCACAAAGATTTTAGACCAAGAAATATTTAATCTTTCAAAGTAAATCCTTTCTAATTTCTGAACAGAGTATTACTATTGCAGTAAAGTGACCTGATGGGCCTATATTTTTTTGTTTGTTTTTTGTTCAATCCAAGACACTTTTCTGAGAGGAAAAGAATAGAGACAGACTTTGCTTTCTCATTTCATCATCCTAATTCTAACAGGACTCAGCAAATTCTCAAATTTAAAAGGTTCTGGCATTTGAGGCCAACAATAACGTAAGAAGGGGAGTAATTATTTCTCTTTACAGATCTGATACTTTGCAACAGATGCCCAAGGATCTTCAGAAACATTTTGGTTAAGTTTTATGGCATTGGATATTGTTGGGATGCATCCATTTCAGCCACCCAGATTACTGATACTGTATTCAAAATTTATAAGGCTCTTTGATTACAGTTGCAATGCTTCATCTATAGCCCTACTATAAGACTTGTAATTTCCACTGAAAATTGCATAGTGCTTGCATTAAGCTTCAATTTACAAATAGAAATAAGACTTCATTTGCATTTCATGATTCATATATTATCTGTTTATACATGTTTGCAGACGATCCCATGGGCTCTGCCCAAGTATGGAAAAATGTTTAACGCTATTAGCTTCAACTTTACATGCTTTTAAAGTAAATGAATGCTTACTTGTAAGGTAAACATGTTTATTTCTGGTAATTCTAATCCTTTTAACTGTATTTAAGAACATTTTAATTTGTGCCATTGTTATTTGTAAACTGTCCCATATCCAGATGACTCTTCATGTTAAATCAATAGGAGACTGAATAGAAAATGTGGTGTAAGATTAGGGATAGGCAACCTAAGGCATGGGTGGCTGTGAGGAGTTCCTGGTGGTGCACTTCCATGCCCTTTCATATGCCTCTTTTTTCCTTACTCTTTATATATTCTCTTTGTCATTCTTTTTTCCTTGCCTTCCCCCCATCCTTCAAAAACCTGCTGAAGAGTCACTGACATCCTTGCCTAGTGCTCCTGGTTGCTTAGCTGCACTACTTACTTGTCCCTATGGTTTCAGAGGATGGAACCACATCCAATTTTGTGTAACCTGGAAAATGGCTTGCTCTCAGCTTTCAACTTATGAGTTCTAATGGTACACTGAAATTTTTTTTTAATTATGTGATTAAAATTGGGGGGTAATCATGTAATTGCCACCTTTTGGGCTAATGTATAAAACTTTATTTAAATGTTTAAGGTAAATGCTTTGAGAGAAAAGACTGCCAAGTTCTTAGCATAAATATTTTCAGAGAGCATACTTTTTAACTTTAATTTTCATATTACATTAAAGTTTTATACAATCTGAGTCCTGAGAGCACATCATGGAGGATGCCTTGGACTGTAGCGGACGGACCTCTGGGTGCAGTTCCTAATGAACCTGCCTTAGACTTAGGCTGGGTTATACTTTATGGCGAATGGTATTAAGAGTAAATTCCCAGAATCAAGAGATACAAGTGGAAAGTATAAGCTAATTAGCTCCAATTAAAAAATATGTAAATAATTTAAATAAGTGTTTAAAATTCTTCGTGAAATTTATAACTATGAAAACTTCATTGTTGCTGGAATACACATTAAGGAGCAAAGAATAACAAGGTGGAGAACAGCAACACACAGCTCCTGGACTCACTGTGATGTGACAGCCACAGCCATGTTTATCTCTTTGTTGACAGAGACGAATGCTTTGTTTTGTAAATATACTGCAAGTGATAGGTTTCAATTTCCAAGAATAGCTAAATGTGAAATCTGCACATAATTTAGAATCATAATTATTGAACTACCATAAATAAGTAGTTTTACACAATGACTCCTTCTGAGACAATAAAGACCCATGAAACAATTCATTGCCACATCTCTGAACTACTCAAACCTTGAAACCTGGGGCATAGTAGTTTATTTAGCTTGTCCTTTTAAAAATTATTACTTTTTAGAAAGCAAACATTAATCATTTTGGTCTCTATACAAGGAAATCCCCCATGGTACTACTTTTTTGACAGATTTAAATAATATAGGAGGCTACCTCATTTATGAAACAAGATTTCAATTTTTTATTAGTACGTTGGAAAGACATTGGGAATGAAATAAAACCTCTGTAAGTACTTGATCATGATGCTTACTTGACCATGGCAGTCTATCTACCTCAGCTTTCGGTGTCCAGCTAAAAGCCCAGCTTAATCAATTGTTGCTTAATCAGAAGGCAGCTAATGGTGATTAAAAGGCAAGGGAGTGCAAATTGTTAAGGGGGTTGAAATATCAGTAAAATTTCTTAAGAGCTTTGTTCTGATAAATGGATTTAAAAGGAACAGAAATGGATTAGACTGTATGCTTGTGCCTTAACCTTACAGCTTACATGTTAAACTCCTGTAAGAGGCACCCCCTTTCTAGTGGGACAGGGACTGTGGCAATGAATTTTTGTCTCGCTGTAGTTTTTGAAAATGCTATCTTTGAATGTGGCAATTCTGTAAGAGTTAATCCACAAATTCTCAATCTAATTAAAGATGTCTGTAGCCTTTCAGAATGGGTGCTGTGAAGAGTATTTTAGAGTTGAATGGCACTAAGCATGTATGTGATAGAACTATCAATATAAAATAACATTTTAGAAGTCAAATTGGGTCTGTGATACTATTTTGGCATCTCTGATAATACTTTTATTCTTTACCAGATAATACGTTTCAGTATGTCAGTTATTAGAAGAGTCCATTTGTTAAATGTGTGTATAAACACATAAACCATTTCTACTGTGATCATCCCTAAATGTAATCTTCCATAGTGTGTTCTAATATGCTGGAAAGTAATAGGTCAACATATCTCATAACTCAGCCTATATTGGAATATTTCAGGGACCCAGGGTTTGTTTTGAGACTGCTGTATTTTGACCCTGGACTATGAACAGACTGTATTTGGTGCCTTTGTTTTTCCTACCAGAGAAAGATTGGTGCTAAATTTCATGCTTCTTTCAAAATTATTTTTTCTTTTTAAACATGTGTAACACAATAGGAAACATGCAGATCTAGCAGTATTATACATGTTGCATTTTGTATATACATCTGAGGAAAAAACCTATAAAGCAATTATTGAGTTCAAATATCTACTTACTGGTATGTAATTTTTGTTAACACATAAGACGTTACAGTATGAAACCCCCCCAAAAAATCACCAAATGAAAACTTAATGACAAGCATAGCCCCTCAAGGTAATGACTTTAAAGAAAAAGTCCCTGGTCAATGTTTCTTGCACGAAGTTAGCTATTCA